AGAGAGATAGTGTGAGAGTTGATATATACACACACACACACACACACACACACACACACACACACACACACGATATGTTTACTTATATAAAACACTAGCAGAAAGCTTCACAGGTTTTTTTTACGCTTTCTTATAAGTGTTAAAAGCTGTATACACTCACTATTGTACATAGATATTTGTTTGTTGATTTATATATATCAAGGATTTTTATTTGTCTCTTGAAAGTGAATAATTGTATTTAAAGCATCCAATACAAATTAAAAACTGAGTTTGACAAACTTAATTAATTTAAAGCTGATATCGAAAAAACAATATAATATTGATATTAATTTTCTTGTTACAATATTCAATATCCAATGATAAAAAAAAACCCCGTCGGTTTGTCGTTAAAAGAATGCTCGTAATAAAGGAAATAAAAGGAAGCATTCAGAGCATCACCAATGTCTTAGAAGTCTTACAATGTGCTATTAAATAGTGTTTCCAATGTCTTTTACTGTTTTTCTACGATCTTAATAACAATTTATTACAGCCATTACGCTGAAGCGCTTTTGAATTGGATGGAAGCGAAACTACACTCGTTTTATTAGCCTGCGTTAATAATCAATACTGATCCAAAGGAGACAGTATCGAAATTTATTCAGGATTATTGTTAAATTATAGCTCAACTCGAATGAAAAAAGATACTTGTATTACTTTTGCACACTAAATGAAAACCAGGAAAAGTGAATAATTTATTTGTCAAATTAACCATTGCACGAGTGCGTGTAGATTGTTCAACTGGTTGACCAAGCAAAACACCTATTGGGAAATTACGCTGTGTTCTGCCGGTTGATTTATCTATGTCAGCAGTTTGATCGATACTTAGCCATCTCTGGTCTGTTTATTCTAGATTTTTTTTCTCAGTAAAAACGATCTCGTCAAGGTAGTTAATTAATGATTATTTGGAGATAGTGAGGTGCGGTCTGGTGTGACGTAGGTTAAAAAAAAAACATTTTCTTTATCGAGCCAATGTTTCGATCTTTATTGAGATCATCTTCAGGGCATGTGTTGAGAATGACACATCTACACAGAAAACAAACCCATTGCGCCCAGAAGATGATCTCAATAAAGATCGAAACGTTGGCATGATAAAGAAAATCTTTTTCTAAAAACCTACGTCACACCAGACCCCACCTCATGAACTACAAATAATCATTGGCTAACGGTCACTAAACACCACACACATGTAGTTAACTAAGTTTTGAATTTATCCATCCTTTTATATCGGAAAACGCTAGAAATTGGTGGGGGATGTCAAAATTGGTGTTAGTCCTAATATTTTTTTATAATTTTGTGGTTTGTTGTTTTGTTGAGGTTTTCGATAATTTCGTACTACCTATACTCACTGTTTTGGTCTCTCAGAATAGTAACGCCAGTTTGTTTTTCAAACGCAATATAAACGAAATATCACACTGACTCAGCACTGAAGATGCCGAAATGCGCAGCCCAACTCAGCGAGGATTGGCAGACCGAAATGATCGGTAATAAAGAATACTGTCAAATATTATGTATTCAGTGGATTTTATGGAGGAAAGCAGTTTATAGTAGGAGATCAAATTGTTTAAAGACCTGCTAAAAACTAAGTCAAATTTAGCCCTCCTTTCTTGTGTATTCTTCAGAACAAATATCATAGTTTTAATCACAGTGGAAGAAGTGGTTCATGAACCAGTTACAGTACCAAAGAAAGCGGTGCTGAATCGTTTCAATATTTCGGATTTGAGAGGAATCCAGACAATAGAAAATAAATTCAAGTGGGAACGACGATTCATTATTTCAATATTTCTAAAAGATTTCGTGTACCGATTTAAAAATCCAAACGTTTTCAAAGCTTTAGTACAGATTGTTGATGTATGCAATTTAACAGATAACTCAATTCCTAAATCTTCAATTTATATGGAGGTATCAACTAACGAATATTAATTGTTATGTTATAAAAATAAATTAACCTAACACATAAATCTTTAATTACAACAACTAAAGTAAAAGGTTTGTTATAGGTTAATTTTTAGGTTTGTTTAGGTTAATAAATGCTGAGATTTCTCCACGTGGTTTGTGGGTTGTTGAACCTGAAATTTGGTCGTTACCGATTATGGTGTACTTATCCTCGCTGTTTAGTTTTCTCACAAACGAGATAAATCAGGTTTAAAAAATATATCTGGGAGTCTAGAAAAGCGGATGTGGTTGATCATTGAATCATAATAAATATTCGAAGAGAACCAAGTGTGAAGATAATGGTAGTTTTTGTACAAGAAAAACAGATTAAACATGTTGCTGCAGGCTTTAATATGAGGATTATTAGCTAAGAAATAAAATATTTGTCGAGTATAATAATAAATTAAATTAACGCGTGAAGTAGCTCGTGCTGTATTGTCTGAAAACCAGAATTAGGTGTCAGAAGTTTACTCTGTGACTGCTGTGAGGTTGCCTTCAACAATACGGAGTCCAGTTCGTCCTCCAGTGTAAATCCCAGCCCAGACCATTACACCGCCTCCTACAAACTGCACTGAAGGGAGCACGAACTGGGGCATTGTACTTATCCCCGTTTCCGGTAGACTCTTCGGCGCCTGCTATCACTATATAGCTGCACCATATTCTTCTGAGTTGCTGATGGCGGGCTGTTGCTACAGGTCGTCTCTCACAAACGATTACGAATTGCTGCCTTGCCAAAACGTCTTGTACTTCATTTATGATCTGGCGGGGCACTATCGAAAGGGTTCCTTCTTGCAGCAATTACAATATTTCTGTCCTCCCTTAGCGTCGTAATGCGCTGAGTTCCACTATCCGGCCTCCTTACTAATGGCACTTCCAGTCTCTCGGAATCGGGCTAAAGCCCGGGAGACCACCCTCAGACAAAAGCCAACTGCCTCTGCGAAATCCAACTGCCGGTGACCTCGATGACTCATTCTCACAATAATATTACGAACTTCTGGTTCAAGATGGTTAAAGTGAATACAACTGGATTAAAATGGAGAAAAGACGAGGAAAGGTGTTGGTTTATAAAATGAGTAATTTTATAAGTTTTCTATTCTTGAGTAAAACCGCTGTTAAAAATCAGGATTAACTAATTTTTGGCTTATATTTTCAATTTTGTTTTATCCGATTAAATAGAATATATCGGTTAATTTAATTTAAATTACAAATATCCCTATTCAATCTTTACGCAGTTTAGATGTTCATATTTCGTACCTAATTTTTTTTTATGCGAGGGTTCGCAACAGCAGAGGTTATATCAACCCTCGGGTGCCGATGTTTTTGAAAAAAGCCCATTTCTAAGTATGTCGGGTTCGAATGCAGGGCCACTGGATTCGAACCCGGGACCTTTACCTTACAGTGATGAGCGCCGTGTCAACGCCTAAACCGTTGCGGCCACCGACGCCCCCTTTCCTATTTTTCTTATGATGCTTTACAGTCCTGATAAAAAAATACATTCACTTTATCAGGACATTGAAATTGGGATGCTCGACGAAAGAATTTTTTTTCATTCTTTCTTATTGGTATTATAATTAAGCGTGTTTCAGTATAAGGGTGCACCGTGAACAAACATCCATACTTCCAGAGGTTATCACACAAGTCGACTTTGTCTAAAAAGTTCCTATTGTGCACTGTCTGAGTACCATTTGTATTCGGGATATTTCACTTTTGATGTTACTTCAACGTTTAACAAATTTATTCCATTAAGACTCGAGGGCCTACCAGGCCTCCTAATGGCACTTCCAGTCTTTCGGAATCGGGCTAAAGCCCGGGAAACAAAGCTCTGACGAAAGCCAACTGCCTCTGCGATATCCACTCTTGCCAGTGACCTCGATGTTTCATTTTCCGAATAATATTATGAAATTCTGGTTCAAGATGTTGCCTTTCCATGGTTAAAGAGAATATAACTGAATTAAAACATAGAAAAGACGAGACAAGGTGTTTGTTAAAAAAATGAGTAATGTGTGATGTTTAGTGACCGTTAATTAATGATTCTTTGGAGATCGTGAGAAGCGGTCTGGTGTGACGTAGGTTTAGAAAAACATCCCCTGAAGATGATCTCAATAAAGATCGAAACGTTGCACGACAAAGAAAATGTTTTTCTAAACCTACGTCACACCAGACCGCATCTCACGATCTCAAAATAAAAATGAGTAATTTTCATGTTTACTGTACTTATGTAAATCCGTTTTTGAAACATATGATTAACATTTGCTTGCTTTTGGTTTGTATTTTCTATTTTGTTTTATCCAATTGACAAGAATATGTCGTTTAATTAAATTAAAATTAATATGATAAGACTAAAGTAAAAATATCCCTATTCATTTTTGAGCAGTTTAGCATGTGTTGAGAGAGAATGTATATATTAGCGTGGATGTGAGAAGGCATATGGAGGAATATCGAATACTCCACCACCAATTGAGTGAATTGCATGTGAATATGAAAGATTGTACTTAAGAATGAATGAGAATGTGAATCGACTTGGATTTAGGAACTTCATGATGAATTGGCCTAGCTTTGACACCACCCGGAGTCCAAGCTGGATGCCTGGAAGAGTGTAAGACCCGTGGTGGGTGATTCTCGAGGCCTGCTAGCAATTTACCGTAAATTACAAAAGCTGCCGGTGGACTGTGAGAAGTGTTAGGCTCAACTCTGCACATGTATGTGCAGATTTGAGCGTATACAAATCCAAATCCTATTGTTATTGTTTTGTAAAGTTCATGGAAGTTGAATCTTATCTCTTTTGAAATTTAAACGGCTATTAAAACTCGAGCTTTTAAAGAAAACGAAAGGTCAGTGGTTTTTTTAATCAAAACTTGATGAGGACGTGAAGAAAAGGGAAATGTAACTATACAAAAAAAAAAAAAAAAAAAAAAAAGAAAAAGAAAAAAAAGAAGGCAGAGATAGAAAAAGTGGCGCTTGTAAATGCGGGGTGGAGTTTGACGAGAGAGGGGAACCGCTTGTGTGGAGGGGGGGCGCTTCCTCCCCCCACCGCTCGAAGCCTAGGCCCTTCTCAACGCCAGAACGGCGTCAGCTATCGTTGAGTGTAGGAAGTTCGCCGAACTTCTCTAAGTCCAGGACCGGTTGTGGATTTCCGTCATTGGCAAAGTCCCCGTGCGTACAATTTGCCGAAATCGGTTCGCGTCAAGTGTTGTGGCCGTCGTATAAAGGCCTTCTTTTCAAAAGGCGAAAGTGACAGGAGACGGAGGACGGATTTTGGTGAAGCAGCGGGTACACAAACGGACGGAGTGCCGGCAATAGCTAGGTAATTTTTCAACACTTCACTAAATAGGAGATAATTTAAAATTTCATTCCTGTCTTTTCTACCCATTTTACCAGTTAAAAACAAATCTCCCAAAAATTATTTAATATAAAAAATATTCCCCTAAGTCAATTTAGATTTCATAGTTTTAATACATCTTACTCGGCCAAAACTGAGCAAGAAATGAAGAAAAAGAGTTATTTCGTATTGATTATTTATTACATAACATCACACAATCGTTTAAATTATTCATGTACCATCGAACCTCGTGTTTTCAAGTGTTTCGATTGAGAAATAGCAGACAATATCTTAAAAAAAATATAAAAAATTTCAATCCATTTATTATAAAATATCATTGCAAATCACGATTAAACAAAGATTTTATTTTAACTTTTGTTATGATTTAAACCACCTTTTTTTAACTAAATTAATTTTTCTCAGTGTAAAAATTGTTACGGATCGACCCGCGAACAAGAAACAGCGTCCCGCAACACATCCGAGTCTTGCATGAATTAACGAAAATAAAAATGGAAAAAGTGAACGTTAAGTTTTTTTTCTAAGTTGGACCGCTTTTGACCGGCAGTTCTGGTCGTAGACCGTTCCGCATTAGCGAGGCCCACGGCATCGGAAACTTCTCAGGCTTCGGGGCCGTACGCGACATTTTGTATATACGTGAGACGTGACTTGTATACGTTTTAAAGTACATAATAGACACAATTCGAGGGTTAAACATTGAAAAATTAGCAGATTTTATAGGGTTAATGTTATTGAATAAGTCTGTAAAAGGGACCAACTATGTGCATATCTATATACATAAACAATTTTTATACGTGGATCTTAAAATTTTCACATTTTTCTTATATGTTTTCCCGATTGGGATAAGGGAAATATAAACAAAATGTCCTATTACGCAAAAATATGTGACAATAACAATATTTGACGGGCAAAATACACTGGTAAACTCGCATTCCTTACTTGCGGCTTTAAAAACTGTAAATTTCTTGTCTTTCTGATAATTTATTAACTGAGAAAATCCCTTTTACACGTTGTAAAATACAATTTTGAGAATCTAGAACCGAAAACTCGTTTTTTTTGCTGTTTAACAATGTTCAACCTTATTTGATGGCAAACTCGCATTCTTGTGCATTATAAACTGTAATTTACAGATTTTGTGATAATATTTGTTGGCTGAGCAACTTCCTTTTACAAGTTGTAAATACATCAGAATTCAGAGTCGAAAACTAGTTCTTGGCTGTGCTTTACTGAGTCAGTTTTTTGTGAGATCATACAATTTGTCAACTATTACTATACATCTTTCCTGATCGGCCTCACGGAAAAGACCAACAAAATATACGGTCATGAAAAATATACAAAGACGGAACAACAATATATGAAGGGAAAAATCAAGTGGGAAACTCGCATTCCTTACTTGTGGGCTTTACAAAGTGTAGATTTCCAGCTTCACCTGATAAATTTATCGGCTGAGAAATCTTCAATCATTTTATCTCCCTTGATCTTAAAGTTTCTCCCAAATGTCTTATTCATTTTATCCGTTCGAGTAAACGGAAAAATAATATAAAAAAATAATATATTAACCATGCAAAAATATACGAAAATAACAATATTTGACGGGCAAAATACACTGGTAAACTCGGATTCTTTATTTGTGGCTTTAAATATTGTAAATTTCCTTTCTTTCTTATAATTTATTAGTTGCCTGAATCTTAAAATTTTCTCATTTTTCTTATCCCTATTCCCGGGCTGGGAAACGGAAAAACAAACAAAATGTCCTAACAAACGCAAAAATATATGACAATAACAATATTTGACGGGCAAAATAAACTGGTAAACTCGGATTCCTTACTTGTGGCTATAAAAACTGTAAATTTCTAGTCCTTTTGATAATTTATTGGCTGACAAAATTTCTCTTACAACTTGTAAAATACAATTTTGAGAAAGTAGTGCCGAAAACTCATTTTGTGCTCTTCAACAGTAAAGCATATTTGATGGGCAAAATTAACTCAAAAAATAAAAAAAATTTATAGTGTTAATGCTAGTATTTAATAAGAATAAATAAAAATAGATTTTTTTTGTAACAGGTTCCAATTATGTATTCATATATAATGTATGTAAAAACCTTTTTTGCGTGGATCTTAAAATTTTCCCATTTTTCTTATACATTTTCCGATTGGGAGAACGAAAAAACAAACAAAATAGACTAACTATGGAAAAACATACAAAAATAACAATATTTGACGGTCAAAATCAACTGCAAACTCGCAGTCCTTACTTGCTGCTTTAAAAACTGTGAATTTTCAGTCTTTATGGTAATTTAATTAACAAATTGTAAAATACATTTTGAGAATTTAGAGCCGAAAACTGGTTCTGTGCTGTTCGAAAATAAACCATATTTGAAGTGCAAAATCAACTGGCAAAATCGCATTCCTTACTTGGGATTTTTAACTCCTTTTACAAGTTGTAAATACAGAAAATTCATTTTTGGCTTTGCATTACTGAGGCCTGCGGAATTGGAAAGTTTCATACTTCGGACCAATACGTTACATTCCGTATACACCTCATCATAATATCATACACGTTTTAAATGCTTTAAATTCATACGTGCATAACATTTTTTCTGTGTAGATCTGAAATTTTTTTCACTCGTCTTACAGATTTTCCTGATCGGGCAAATAGAAAAACACAAAATATACAAGAAAAAACTTTATTTGACGGAAAAATCAACCGCAAATTCGCATTTCTTACTTGCGGTTTTATAAATTGTAAATGTCCTGCATCGCTTGATAATTTATTGGCTGAGAAATTCATTTAGAGAGTAATCACAATTTTGATAATCCATAGCTGAAAACTTGCGCTGGACTAAGTTTGTTTTGCATCAGTGAAGCCTACGGAATCGGAAACTTCGGGCCAGTATCTTAAATTTTAAATACTTAAGACAATACTACTTTTGATTATCATATTAGACGCAGATCGAGTGGTAACAGTTTACAAATTAAAAGGTTTTAATGTGTTAACTCTATTTTTACTGCTAATTGAATATAAGTCAATTTACAGGTTACCGACAATACACATGAGTATTAAAATAAGAAATCTACACGAATCTTAAAACTTTCCTACTCTTCGTAAACATTTTACCGATGGGACAAATGGAAAAAAAATGTAATGTTTTGTAAAAATATACAACAATAAACAATATTTGACGGGCAAATCAACTGGCATGCGCGCATTCCTTACTTGGGGCATTATAAACTGAAATTTCCTGCCTTTCTGAGATTTATTTACTGAAAAATCTCCTTTACATGTTAGAAATACAAAGTTGAGAATTTAGAGAGGAAAACTCATTCTTGACTTTGCATTACTGAGGCCTGCGGAACTGAAAACTTTCATGTTCGGCCCCTTGTGCGACGTTCTGTATGTGTCTGGTCATTATTATATGCACGTATTAATTACCATATTAAACCCAGATCGAGTGTTAACTCTATTAACACGGACACATTTGAAAGTTTCATTTTTTTCTGTGCCATGTGCCAACATACACGTGACATATGCACATATGAGTATAAACAATTTTTCTGAGTGATCTTAAAATTTTCCCACTTTTCTAAAACATTTTGGCAAACTCGCACTTCTCACTAGTTTAAAACCGTAAATTTCCAGCCATTTACAAGTTGTAAAATACAATTTTGATAATCTAGAGACGAAAACTCGTTCTGGACTGAATCCCTTTTGCATAAGTGAGGACTTCGGCATCGGAAACTTTCTGGCTTCGCTCCCGTACTCTACGTTTTTTACACACCTAATAATAGATCGATGAGTGAAAGTTCAAAATTATAAGATTTAATAGTGTTAACTTTATTAATATGGTTAAATTGTCAAAGAGTCATTTTTTTTCTAATAATGTCGCGATGAACATTTTTTTTCTGCGAAGATCTAAAAATTTACCCGATCTGGTAAAAAACGAACAAATACACCACCATACAAAAATATATAAAAATATTTGACGGCAAAAAACAACCACTCACTCGCAGTCTTTACTTGTCGCTTTGTAAACAGTAAAATAAATTTCTTACTTTTCTTTTGCTTGGATATGGATGAGAATCTGGATTACGAAGACTTAGCAAGCTTTAAAATAAAAAGTTGGAAAAACTTACGAAGTCTTTGGACTAAACACAATTGTGAGAATTTAGAGCCGATAACTCGTTTTGGGGCCAAGTCTGTTTAGCATTCGTGAGGCCTACGGGATCGAATACTTTCTGGCTTTTGGCTTATGCTACAGTCGCTATACGCTTGATCAAATATACCTTTTAATTACACAGATCATGGGTTAAAAGTTCATAAATTAGAATATTTTATAGATTCAACTCTATTATTATTGATAAATTGGAAAAATACCAACCTTTATTTCTTCCTAGGATTTCTTAAGTTTCCGAGCTTGCCCCACGTATTTCAGATTATAAAAAAAAGAATACTGTACTATACTAATATACACAATAACATTACACTGGCAAAATCAACCTCCTAACTCAAACTTTTTCGTAAAATTAGAATCAACAAGTTTCACAAATAACTTATTTGAAATGTACCCCTGCTATTACAAATAAGTACACAATATTAGCAAAATATGGCAGGATAATTCTATAAAGTTTTTAATCTTATTTCAAGTCAACTTGTACAACGACAAATCCTGTTTCTATTGGTTTATCCTCTGAAAAATCGTAAAATCGTCAACCTCCAAACACAAACCAACTAACTGTTTGGTAAAATTATAATCTACAAGTTTCACAAATAACTTATTTGCAAATGTACCCCTGCTGTTACAAAAAGTACACAATATTAGCAAAATTTGGCAGGATAATTCTACTTCGTTTCTCATCTTTTTTTAAGTCAAATTGTATAACGACAAATCCTGTTTCTATTGGTTTATCCTCTGAAAAATCGTAAAATCGTCAACCTCCAAACACAAACCAACTAACTGTTTGGTAAAA